TTTGCTGGAGATCTAATCAGTGTCCCCGAATGTTCTACAAGCAGTTATTGGGCCCTTGACTCCAACAATGACATGCCGTATGTTTTATCCCACATATTTGCTAGCCTTTGTACTCTTGTGAAGCCTTGTAGGGTGTGTAAGTCTACATACCCTGTGGTTCCACATGTAAGCTCACTTTGAGTAACGCGGTATGCAGAACCCCAGTCGCCGGTATTGCAAACAGTATTGGGCCTTTGAGTCGACAGAATATCACAGAATATTACTGTATAATGGATTCAAGGTGTATTATTCCACGATAACATTGTCTCCAGAGGAAGAAGCCTCTGTAGAATCCCTCATAGCGTAAAATAGTTCAACTGCTTCAGCCGCCTAGGGCTCAATCGGTGTTCCATGATTGGTTAATGACCAAGTCACGTGACTTGCCCGGTTAGCTCAATCGGTAGAGCGTGAGACTCTTATTAAGAGCACACGTTCTGTTACAATCTCAAGGTTGCGGGTTCGACCCCCGCATCGGGCTCTTCCTATATTAAGTCATCGATTGAGATTCGAGGCGGTCTTCATTTTTGCTCTTTTTTCTCTCTTTCTTTTTATATGCATTTTTTAACTGTCCATGTGAATTGCGTTATGGTGCTCATCTGATGATACGGTTGTAGCATTTGCCTGGTGTGGTTTATATATAAAAAAAAAGTACATTTTGTACACTTGGATTCTAATTTACATATGTGGATTGACCAGATTTCAATGGCCCTGTTCATATATACACAGAAGTACATGTCCTTCAGCATTCTTCTCAATGCTCTCAGATTCTTCTCATCCATATTACTGGCAAGAAGACCACCACTCACTCTCCTCGACGCACTTGTAAGGGGCCACACATTGTGTAGGGCCAGTGTATCCAATGCCACCGCACTATTATGCAACCGTTAGCTTTAGAAACAAAAAGGGTTATCTGATTTTAAATGACACTCACCTGATCAAACTGGCCAACGGTGCCGCCTCCAGGGTTTGAAGGAGTAGAGCTGGCAGGAGGAGGAACTTTGGTGGTGCTGCTAGGAGGAGGAGGGGAGCCGGATCCTCCACATGGCGAGCCCGTAGTAAGAATGCTCTTGGCCTGTTGGGCAAAGTTGCATCCGTTGATGACGTTGGAATCGGAGTATCCGGCGTCCCATAGCATGATGCCTCCGAAAGCAGGGTTGGACTTGGTGCTGGCGACGATGCTGGCCAGCTGGTCTGGTGTCGCGTAGTACTTTGCGCCGCCGGCGTTACCGTTGGCACCCAGAGTTGAAGCAGGAGCACCGATGAAGAGCTTGGCGTTCTTGGAGGGGGTGGTAGAGATGAATGACACCCAGTCATCAAAGTTGAAAGGGGCATCGCCAGGGAGGCCAAGAGAGCAGGTTGGGTTGTTGTTGTAGAACTGGACCCAAAGATAGTCAAATTGAGAGCTACTTATGATTTCACCCATGTTGGGCTCGGGGATGGGGCACTGAGGAGCTCCGGTGATGTAGTAGGTGTTCTTGGGGTCGCTGGCAAAGTTGGAGCGCAGCGTTGAGATCATGTACTGGTAGTACTGGCTTCCGGCGTTCAACTCAATGTCAAAGTCAAAACCGTTGACAAAAACGCTGCCAAAGGGGCGCTGGACAGTGGTGTTGCCAGAGTTGCCATACGCGTTCCATAGGTATTGACCGATGGCCGTAGCCTGTGACTGGGATGATAGAGAATACGAGCTGGCCGCACCGCCGAGAGACAGGATGACCTTCTTTCCAGCAGACTGGCAAGTCGTGATTGCAGAAGCAAGTTGGTCGCACTGCTGAGGAACTCCGGTTGTGCCAACGAAGCATGAGTTGCCCATGTTGCCGGAGGGGATGTTGCCAGTCGCGCCATAGATATCCAGGAAGGACAGGATGACAATGTCGATTCCTGCGCTGGACGTGCAGTAATGAGACAGGTCGTCTACTTCGTTGTTGGTAGCTCCCCAGTAAATAACATTCTGGGCACCAGAAGCTTGACGAGCCTTGACGGTGGGCGAGGGAGCGGCAGCTGCCAGGGTCGCAAGACCAAGGCTAACAAGGAGAGAGCTGGAAAGCATTTTGGCGGTTTAAATGATGACAAGTGTAATATATACAATGAATAATAGCTACCAGCAGATAAAGGAATGAATAGGGCGCGAGGCCTGTGTGTAGACTGACTTGCACTGAACAAGAGACCGCTTCAGCTCGAGGAAGTCGGCTTAGATATACTCACTTCCGGCACGCCTACGGTGGATCATGCGACGGACGCTGATGTTACAACATGTCGCTCCGTCCAAACCGTGGACACCTGGAGTCCAGATGCCAAATACAGACACTCATTCCTACCGTGTAAGGAATGTAGATAGAGGTGATCATCTACGATATGTTTCATGTAGGTCGTCGAAAGGAGACGTTACATGGGGGAGCAAACAAACAAATCGGTGGTGTAGAGTGGCCGCGGGCGCCTGAGATGAGATCAAACAGGTCCACTCTGTTTCCAATTCTCTTTTCTAGATACATACGGCAAGTACTAGTAATCGTGACAAAGTATAGAAGTAGGAAGGTAAGAGATCTGACAGGTAGCCGCTGTAACGAGTTCCGGAGTGATGGAGTGGAAGTGCCTGGTGTATCAGATGTGTGGGTTGCGCCGAGCTTCTGGTACCTGAACTAAAAACGCAGGCTATAAGAGCGCATGTTTAAGTTGATCGAATTGTAGTTTCCTGGTTTGGCAACTTCAAATAGTAATACTACAACACCACGAGCGTGGGTAATTTGTTAGTGTCTTCAAAACGTCTTATTTAGGCAGGTCTGTACGTGTCACGGCATCTTCACTCCGAGTAGCCGCCTCAAGGGCGGCACTGATCTTATAAAAGTCATCTGCTGCACCTGAAGAGGATAAGCCTGTAACACTGGCCGCAATCATCATGAGCTGCACAGGAATTCGTCTCCGCAACTGCGGCTCGAGGCGTCCCTTATCACAGGATACAACGTTCCTGCACTAGCACCGCGTTTGACTCCACCTAACCAGCGAGGTTCTCGTTGAAGAGTTCATGCATCCTGCAGAAGAGTCACCGGATGGACTGCTACAAGTACTTAATGTGTGTCTGATGTCCTGCAGATCAAGCGGGAGGGGGAGATGCAAGACATGCAAGTAGGTGTGATGAGGCACATGCACGTGCTGTCCCGGTCAGTATGCCGCGCGTTTATCAGAGCAGACTCACATTTCCCTATTCATCGGCGCCAGCGATGATGGAATCTTCTTCTTCAGCGCAATTTATTTGTCAAATGATGCTGGCATGTCAGATCTCGGGGTTACAGGGCCCATCAGCATAAACCCGCCGGAGCGCTCGGTTTACATACTCTCAAATTATAGCAGCATATCGTAAGATATCTAAATTATGATACAAACTGTAAGACTATGGTCAGATGGACTGCTGATTTGTAGCAGACGAATGAACAGAAACGAGGAAAACTCGGCATTTGTATCCTGCTCACATCACTGATGGTACTCTTGATCAGCAGAATTGTCTCTTATTCAGACTTGAGACGGGATTCTCCGAATATGCTGTCGAGGAGTTATTCTGCTTCGAGAGACGTCTGAGCGTTGTAGAATGGTCTCTGGTATTGCAACCCTCGTTTATACCACAGTGGCAGTATCTGATGGAGACGAAACTGTGGCCCAGTCAAGGACACTTGTTCTAAAGCTGCTTGAGAATGAATGGGAGAGACTCCGAATAGATCTGGCACCGAGAGAACTTACACTCATGCCCCCAAGTACCCCCACCGTCACCAAACCATCAAACGACCCCCAACGCCGCCCTTGCTATTATACCCTGCTGCCCACCATGCATGTCATGAATAGCTTTGGGGGATTTTTGGTAGCGAAAGAGTGATCAATTTAGAGGTTTATGGCGATACCTGCTCGATGCTAATAACTGAATGTTACTGAGAACTGCGATAATAAGTAGTTCGTTAATGGCGGTACCGGCTGTACCAACATCGTGGTCAGTACCTACCACAGAGACTGTACGCATAGCAACGGAAACGCCTACACCTTATCATCTGGAATATACTTCCGTAAAAATGGACATATGACGCACAATTTATAGTCGCAGCTCACCTACTTGACTTTTTACCAGCATGAAGACAATGCTTGTTGATCAGCTACCCTTCACTATTTGAGCAGTCTTCTACGACATGCCCAACGAAAAAAAACCAGCATGCATGCTCGGTACAATTTGTAGGAAGAGGAAAATTGACATCTCTCATACAATTAGTTCCAACTTTAGGACTTATCTATGTCAAGCAGGCGCATCGTCTTGATATGCCAGGGCCCGTGGGACTTACTCAGATGTTCCAGGTTGGCTTATGTATTACGGCAGGATCTCAGTGGATACGGGTCGCAAGTAAGATCAAAGCAATAGAAAAAGATGCGTCTACTTGGCTCCGTGTCTTTCCGGATTGGATTAGCCGCAGAAATAAGAGACATCTGAAGGATTCTACACAATTCCTTGTGCTGCCTAATACATGTGTGTTAGCATCTCGAGTAGGAGGATGCGAATAGAGACGAAGGATTCTTTACCTCGATTTGATGAGTCAAAATAACTTAGGCCAGTCACACGCATCGGGTGACTCAATCCAGATTCGCCAAGATTTCCACACACTTCTTTTAAAGAATCTCGCGCTCTTGAAAAGCGACCAGGCATTAACCAAAAGGTCCGGGGAGCCATCGACTCCGATGTCCCGATTGGCCAATCGGTATTACTATCTGCATGTGAGTCGCGGGTCTATTCGTCAGCCTTCCAGCGCCTTGCATTTCAGGATCGAAACAGCTGAGTCTTGGACTGCAGGGCGTTGTAAGAAGGGCGGCAGATATTTCTGTAGGGATGGATGGGGGGAACGATGCTTCTCTCGACCATCCGGCCTTTGCTTCTTCTTCTTCTACTGCTCAGGCTCGTGTAGCCTATCATCTCTCACAGCTCTCATTATCCAATGGCTTCGCGTTTTCTTTTGAAGGCTGTTGCTTCCTCCTCCTCGCCTTTGATCCCACAAGCTAGACTACCATCAAGAGTACGACCACTCCTCTTCCAGCCGACCGTTTTCTCAAGACACATAGTTCCATCACATAACATATCCCCCTTTCATCATGCCCGACTACAGAGAACCGTTACAGAAGCACCGAAAAAGAAGCTTCGGTGGTATTGGAAGCTGTTGATTGCCCTGGGAGCCACGGCTGGTCTTACAACAGGCGGTGTCGTGGTCGCAGACAGATTCTACATGGGAGGAATCCTGACACGCAGCTTGCGAGCATATGCGACGATTGCGCAAGTCGGGGTCGACTACAAGATGCACTCGGGCAAGAATCCTAAGGGAGGCCGTGTCCCCATTGACGAACTCCACGATCGAAACGCTATACGAGTATGTGACATGATTAAAACCAACGGCGGTATCTTTCTCAAGATTGGCCAAGCGATTGCAGTGCAAGGAGCGGCCCTGCCAGAGGCCTATCAGCGCGAATTCAAAAACATGTTTGACGATGCTTCCCAAGAATCTTGGAATGATATCCAGGCAGTCATCAAAGAAGAGTTCGGTGCCAGCGTAAGCGAGGTGTTTGGTGATGGTGTAGAGAAAGAGCCTAGAGCTTCAGCTTCAATAGCACAAGTTCACTATGCGAAGCTGAGGGATGGGCGAGAAGTTGCAATCAAGGTACAGAGGAGAAACTTGGCGCAGCAGGCATCGTGGGATCTCTGGACATTCAAGTATAAGACACCCCCTTTTCATACAGTGTCTTTGATGGCTGCTAACTATGGCAATAGGGTCCTCTGCGACTTGGTAGGGAGAACGACAGATATCCATATACAAGGCATCGGTGACTACATTATGAACAATATTATGAAGGAGACGGACTTTGAGAACGAGGCAGCTAATTCGATGCGGATCGCTGAGCTTGTAAAGTCAGATCCTGACTTAAGTGCAAGAGTATACATTCCCCAAGTCTATACAGAACTCACATCAAAACGCGTCTTGACCTCAGAATGGATTCATGGCGCCAGACTCTGGGATAGAGATATAATCACCGGTGCACACAATCCTTCTGGCGAGACTTCTGCAGGCATGGGCCTCAAGGAGGCTGATATTATGACCACTATCATCGATCTTTTCTCGTCACAAATGTTCAAATGGGGGTTTGTCCATTGTGACCCTCATCCAGGCAACATGTTTGTTCGACGTCTCCCGTCCGGCAAACCGCAGATCGTGCTCATAGACCACGGCCTTTATGTGTCGTTGTCTGACAAGCTGCGGCGCCAATACGCTCGTTTCTGGAAGTCTCTTCTCACCGGCGATCAGAAAGGACTAGAGGAAGTGTCGGCCGCCTGGGGCATGAAGACAGCCGATGCCTGGGCTGATACCTTCATGTCTCGCGAGAAGAAGCCAGAGCCGACCGACGAGACGCCTGAAGAGAAAGCACAAAGAGCCATCAGCGAAGCATCGGCATTCTTTGGGGAAGAAGGCTTATACCCTCGTGAGCTCATATTTCTGGAACGAAATCTAGCTCTCGTCCAAGGTAGTAATCGCTTCTACGATTCTCCCGTCAATAGACTCGGCATGATCGGTCGCTCAGCAATGCTGAATTTGCGGGACGATAGCGAAGTGACGTTTGCACAAGCAATGAGCTCGCGATGGGCCATGTTTGTTCTCGATGCCGTGTTCTACTTCAGTAGGTGGAAGCAGTACATGAGCTGGGGCAAAGGTTTCGAGGATGAACTGAAGGAGGCAGAAGAGCGGATGGCTCAGGAGATGAAAGACTCCATGTCTGGCCTCTGGGAAGTGGACAAAGGCGCGGAATGAAGGCGTCAGGGAGTATCATCGATTCTACACCCTACTGGACATTTCTTTCATGGGATAGCTGTCCATAATTTGCCTCCCCCTTATGTGTCATTCTGAGCTTACATACATGTATACTATCCACAATATCTCCCGTCTCATCTTCAGCTCTCTAGGCATCAGTTATTGATTTCTGCCGAGCCCCTTTTCCGGAACTCTTTTTCCGCATCTCTTTTTCCGTTGACATCTCTGTTCGGATTCCATTCCAATCTTAGTAACAAGATGCATTAGTTCAGCTGCGCACTAGGCGTATCCGGCAGAAACTAACCCACAATTGCCCCCATGGTAGCGCTGGCAGCCTGAAAATTACAACCTCACTCATAACTCCGATGGAACATCGCCGATTCACTAGACATGCCGGTAACTAAGCGAGAATATATTGCATCAAACTCCATAACCTGTCTAATTATTACACCAATGACCTGGGAAAGTCCAGAGTCAACAATCCGACCCTTGTAACGAATGAGTCATGCGCAACCTGCATGTGTTGAAGTCGGTTCCAAAGACTAACTAACTACCTTGAGCTGTGAAAAAAACAATACTGTAACTTGATTCAAGACAAACAGGTCTTTGGGATGACCAAGCGTATTACCAAGCAGAAAACCCATAAAAAGACGTGATCTAAGTGCCGTACATGAATTTTCCTGTTTCGACCTTTGTGGGCTTTCCCAAATTTTTCATGACTTCCATGACCTTGCCAATTAGCCTGACATCTGTGCCTGTGTATCTCAGTTAGCTCATATGATTTCAAGGGTATACGTAGTATCTTTTCCATACCGGGCGGTCCCATCAGTGCCACTGCAAATGGTGACAGCTCTTCTAGGTGGTTGACTCTTGACTTGTACGTTGTTTGGCCAACTGCATTTGGTTAGAAGGGGTCTCACTACGTTGTACTTTTGTAATCTTACTTGGAACGGCGAGAACAGGGGCTTCCATGACAGGCCCAAGTGTCAAGGCGTTGATGCCTGATGGGTGTGATCTTGGGAAACTGCAACTGAGTTAGCTTTCATCGGTCCGTGGAATAATGGCGGGTACTCAAGGATATGTCTTACTTAGCACGGTCATCTTTCTGATGCTTATCCTTGTGCTGGTGCTTCTCCTTGTGCTGATGCTTCTCCTTGTGCTGATGCTTCTCCTTGTGCTGATGCTTCTCCTTGTGCTGATGCTTCTCCTTGTGCTCATGCTTCTCCTTGTGCTGATGCTTCTCCTTGTGCTGATGCTTCTCCTTGTGCTCATGCTTCTCCTTGTGCTCATGCTTATCTTTGGGACAGTTATCTTTCTGATGCTTATCCTTGTGATCATGATGGTGTTTCTGAGGGTTATCTTTGGGACACTTAACTTCATGACACCCAACTTCATGACACCCAACTTCAGAACACCCAACTTCAGAACACCCAACTTCATGACACCTAACTTCAGAACACCCAACTTCAGACCGCCTAAATTCAAGACGCCTAACTTGAGGGCGCCTACCTTCAGGACACCTTCTGGGGCGCATGGAATAGTCTGGGTATCCAAAGCCATATCTGGGTCTGCTAGGGCTGTAACGCTGATCTCCAAGACTGTCGTCAAAAGAAGAGTCGTTAAAAGAAGTGTTGATATAAGCAGTGTTGATATTGAAAACGTTGATAATAGGAGCGCCGACATTAGGAGCGCCGATATAGGGAGCGCCGATATAGGGAGCGTTAACATAAGGAGCGCCGATATAAGGGGCACCGACATAAGAAGTGTCGATAGAAGTGTTGATATAAGAGTCGTCATGACCAGAGTGTTGATGACCAGAGTTGTCATGACCAGAGTCGTCAGGACCAGAGCGTTGAGGACAACAGTCATCATGACAAGATTCATCAGATGAAGAGTCTTCATGTGGAGTGTCGTCGTGGGGGTCTTCGTCAGAGGAAGGTTCGTCGCTAGCATCGTCATGAATAGGATTGGCATCTCTAGAATTGTCATTTCTAGGATCAGGACAGTCGTCCCTGTATCTCGGGCCTGCTGAGTCAAGGGGCAGTACTATGATGGCACTTTTGTTGCGTCCTGACAACACATGCTCCTTGAACCAACTTTTGTAAATGTCGATTCTTTGAGATGCAGTAACTCTGTCTCCAGAATATGTCTGCTTTCCGATAGACCTAACGCTGCGTCAGATGAAAGGGCCATTATAGGCTATATGAAAGCCGGACTTACCAAATCTCCTCGTTGGGCTTCGACGTGTAAGGCTCTCCGCCCTTCTGGTTTTTATATCGAGTACGAAAGTCCTCGCCGTTTTTGTACTTGTCATACGCTATAGCCCGAGTAGTCTAGCCGTATGTTAGGATCCAATGTAATGCGGTGTTAGTATCTGGTGGTGAACAACATACCTCTGCCATGAATTTTTCCAAGGGATACTTGCGGAACCCCATTGGTGCGTACTTGCTCCAATGTATTTCGAATGAAATCTCTACAAGGTCTACCTTGAGTTCGTCAGCCATTTTCTGAGCAAACACCCTTGCCATATCCATATCCGTAGGGTTAAATTCGGCCCAGAAATCAATAGGCCATATAATGGAGGAAAATTCCTATATACATGTCAGTGTTATATCGCAACTCTTTGCAGTCAAATGCACATACCTCTGGAGTATTGTTAAATTTCTGATTGTCAAAGTTCAGCCACTCTTCGGCGAACTTTTTGCAATCTTCCAGATCCCTTGCTAGAATTCCCGGAATATCCCAGGAGCTTCAGTGGTCAGTCGGATGTAATTGAGTGAGGAGCAGAGTACATGCACTTACTTGACACATGGCTCGATGCCTTCTGTAGAGATCGCTCCAATGCTGGGACGGAGGCCGAAGCAACCACACCAGTGAGCGGGTCTGGTGACGCCCCCCAAAGCTGTCAATCAATCCATTGTTAGCTGATTTCCATAGTGTGTAAAAAAGGTCCAGTCTCTGTAACATACTGTCGGTACCAATGGCAATGTCAAGCCACTCGTAAGCTGCAATGGCCGAAGCACTGCCCGAACTGCCACTTCCCGGGGATTGGTAACAGTCAGCCCTAGGATTCCATGGGGCCGGGTAATCTGTATATTGGACAGGCTCCTCCCAGTTCTCAAAAGAAGACATTTTCGTCTTTCCAATAACGACCGCGCCTTTTTCGATTAGACCTTGGATGCAGGCGGCGGTTTTATCTTTTGCAGCGTATGTCTCATTGTAGGCACGGTTGCCATTAGATGTCTTGATGCCGTTTAAATCAATGTTATCTTTGATGAGGATGCGCTTTCCAGCTAGCGGTAACGGATTATCCGGAAGAGTATACTTGATTCGAGATGATATAGCAAAACTGAGGACATTGCTATCTTGACCCATTATCGAAAGGCGCTCAAACGGGCTCGTTGTGCTAAGAGTACATTAGTCTTGAGCCCTCTCACATTGGAATAGGATAATACTTTTGTTGCGGCTTCAAAGCAACCATAGAAGTCTGGTAGGAATCATCCACCAGCTTCCATGCTTCCCATAACTCCCCATGCAACTGCATATAAGGGCCAGGAGCCAAATCGAGATCAGAGTAGTAATAAATATTATGCGCGCCAGAACTTTTGAGAAAACGCCGGGCGTCCTGGCACAAGACATGTCGAACTTCCGGAAGCGGATTGTTGAATACAATGGTGGAGAGAAATGCCTTGTTGAACACATCATCTTCATTATATGCGGCCAGAATTTCTTTTGTCCACTGCAAGGTTATTTCTTTTCCTTCCCGTGGAACAGGAAATATGGTAAACAGTTTCAAAAAGGGCGATATCAGAGGTAACTTTGGAGACTGCAAAAGGGTAGCTCATTAGGATGATGTAGTGTTGGTGATTATCGCTCAGGGTGTCTTACTCGTCTGGGGCATGCTCCCCAATATCGAACTCCGGACACTGAAAATAGATAGCCATCTTGGCCAAAATCCGCAATGCGTTTTATTGGGTCAGTCATATTGTTAGTAAAGAAGTTGTACTCGGAGTCGAGGATGCTTTACACGGCCGTAATTTTTAAAAGGCCTTCAATATTCTGTATCGAAAACACTCTTTTCGTGGAAATGTTGGAAATTTTACTTCTGGCAATACAGCACAAAACTTGATGGAATATGGACGACATGCGGTATAAATGTCTTGATCTAGCCGCTGAAGAACAGAATGATGATGTGATGGCTGGAGTTGTTTACAAAGATGATAGCTCTACCATTGGCTCTACTCTTCATGAACAGCTTTTCATGCTTTGTCTGTGCATAGCCTGAACCATTACTCCATTGGAATGCTGCTGAAGAAAAACCAACAAAGAGGCCATGCTGCAGTCCCGGCTGCTGAAGAGTTCAAGCGCTGTTCACACTCCAACCGTTGAACGAATCAACAATCGATACAAGAAATTTCCAAAGTTTTCAATTGAGTAGATAAGCTTTGTTCTGAATGATCAGCCATTGCCATTGGGTAAGATCAGATCACGGTCTAAATTACATATGCTTTGTGCACTGTTAGACAAAGAGCGTCTTTCATCTCAAAGAGGCCAATGAAAGCAGAGTCTCTAAGAGTGCTTTCACATCATTTTACAAGTATACTCTGTATTTGAACAAACGTCTTTCAGCCAGCCTGTTGAATCCAGGACAATTGATGTTGTTTCATAACTTTTGCTACAACAGCAACAGGGATCGTCTTGAATCATTTCGCCTAATTCGCCTAGTTGGCGCCCGGTGAGTCGGCGTTTGGCGGGTCTCAAAACGGCAAAAAATGGCGATTGCAGGGATGACTATTGCCGCTTATCACGCTCCCATCATCATTTACTTCCGCCCGTCAACGACTCGCACCTGTTGTGAATATTGAATACACATGACTCGACAGGGATAAATAGCTGGGAATGTAAGGGAAAGATATAGGTAAGCAGAGGAGGGTCCGTAAGCTCCCGTCTGGGGTTTTATCAGATGAGTACCTTGCTCCCTTGGACGAGAGCCGGATCCCCCCTGTGACTATTGCCGAGTTCTGGGGCGCGGTATTTCGACAAACATGGAGATGCCGTGTTGAAAGAAAAGAAGAAAGGGAAATGAAAGAAGAGCAATTTTGTTTCTTTAAACAAAGGAGCCTGGGCAAGCGAGTGTTGTGAGCAAGTGGGTTGATTAGGTGAGCGAGAGAACGGGCAAGTACCGCATCGAGATGTTCAAATCGGCTTAGTCGTCGGCCTTTTCCCGCAGATGCGGATCGTAAATCCGCAGTTTACTTGATCAAAAAAACATCACTGAAGCAAAGCACGTGGCTTGCTGAACGATCAACTAAGCACTCGGAGAGCAAACTTGATGCTTTGAGAAGCAGATGAGCAGAACCTCGTGTAATGCTGTTCAATCAAAAGTCTAAATTTAATCATACAACCTTTATAAACATGGCAGAGTCTTCTTACTGTAGATTGAACGACAAACTCTTTGAACATTGCGTCTTTGAAGCTCTCTTCTTCATACACTCCAACAATGACCCCTGCAACTCTTCCAACCAAGCCTCTCGGCCGCAACGGCCCTCTTGTCTCAACCATAGGCTTTGGAGCCATGGGTCTTAGTTCCATGTACGGATTTGGGGGCTCAGACGAAGACCGGTTCAAGGTTCTAGACCGTGCCCACGAACTAGGCAACACCTTTTGGGACACTGCCGATGTCTACGGCGATAGCGAGCAACTGCTCGGCAAGTGGTTCAAGCATTCCGGAAAACGAGACGACATCTTTCTTGCCACCAAGTGCGGCGGCGTTTACGATCCCTCTACTGGCAAAGCATCGATTCGTTCCGATCCCGAATATGTACGACAGGCTTGTGATAAGTCACTCCAGTTGCTGGGAGTCTCTCACATTGATCTCTTCTACATGCACCGGGTCGATAAGGAGACCCCAGTTGAGCTTACCATCAAGGCTCTAGCTGAATTAAAAGAGTTAGCCCCCCCCCCATATTCCCAACCGGCTCTCATCGAACTAAAATAACCGACACGCTCCATCGAAAACCAGGCAGGGGAAAATCCGACATCTCGGGCTATGTGAAGTCTCTGCCGCGACCCTCCGGCGCGCGCACGCCGTCCACCCGATCACGGCGATCCAGGTCGAGTACAGCCCCTTCTCGGTGGACATTGAGAAGCCCCAGATCGATATTCTTAGCACGGCAAGGGAACTCGGCATTGCGGTTGTGGCTTACAGCCCCCTGGGCCGCGGCATGTTGACCGGGCAGATCAGGTCCCCGGACGACTTTGACGCTGACGACTTCCGCAAGAGCCTCCCGCGATTCTCAAAAGAGAACTTCCCGAAGAATCTGGCATTGGTGGAAAAGATTGGGACCATTGCCACCAGTAAAGGCGTGACGCCTGGGCAGTTGACGTTAGCGTGGCTGCTGGCACAGGGCGCGGACATCTTCCCCATCCCCGGGTAAGATTTATCGTTCCGTTATGGAAACAAGCATAACGGAATTCCTATAAGCTGACGGGTTGAGTAGCACTAAGAAGATCAAGTATCTGGAAGAGAATTTGGGGGCCGTCGACGTGGAGCTCAGCAAGGATGAAGATGCGGAGATCCGCAAGGCTATAGACGAGACGGAAGTGATTGGGGGTCGCTATTCAGACGCGTGAGTTTGAACTCGTCTTAATCACACTCTTTTGCTTCAACTCTAACATTGTTTATAGCCATTCGGATCATCTATTTGCTGACACCGTAGCACTCGAGAGCAAATGAAGAGGACGCCTCATCTCCCAATGAGTCACCTCTTACACAACAACATGAACTGGATGAACTAATGACTCATGTACTCTATAGAAGTAGTAGTATCAAACGGAATAAATTCCGTAAAGACTCGAGACCCCTACCAATTCAACGTATCATCCATTGTGCCTTTGCAAGGGGGGTCATTCTAGTTCTAAACGTTCCAACAGAGCGGTCTGTACTAGTCTCAAGATGTAGGCAGATTTGTCCCCGTCCCTGAGATCTAGGCAGACTCCAGGCAGATTATAACCAGATTCGAATATTATTTCCTTTCAAGACCGATCATGGATTAAACGTCGCGTGAGTCTCCAGTTCCTTACATGGCCAACACTCTCGCTGCATACTAGAAATAGGCATATGTTGACGGTGGGCCACGGTCATTACCGGAGATAGATCGTCGATTCCACTGGTTGACCGGCTTGCTCCCTGTCAAAGTCCGCTAAAATAGGCGGACTTGGCAGACAGAATGTATCGCGCGCGCTAATTCTCGAATCGAGTTGATTCGTATTATAAGGTTGGTCGCCGTCTGTTTCGTTTCGGGTTTACCGTCGCCGTTGTTTCTTCCTGTTCCTTATGATTCCTATTCCGGAGCAGCCCCGATTCTTTCTTATTCTGTATTAATTAATCCTCTTTTTTATCCCCTTTTATCGTTTTGTTGCCCTTGAGGCTCCTCAGTGATTTATTAATAACCTACTTGTAGCCCGGCACTCGTTCTTGGCTGTCACAAAGAGGCTGATTAATTTCTCCTTACAATAGACAAAACACAGAGTTTCTCTTCAGCTTCTGCTTATTCAATAATAGAGTGGATCGTTTTCTTTGACTTCTCTTCTATTTAGCGGGCCCAAGACGCAGATTGCTCACCTCATCAACTCCCCTATTCAGACTCGCTCACCTCATCAGCTTTTGCCGACCATCGCTGAATTCGACACCTCGTCGGTGGTGCTTAGACCGATAGCTGCCATCATCAACGCCCCCACGCTGCTGCTCTCGAACTCTGATCCTCGCTTGATGACGGCACCTTGATGTTGATAGCAATGGAGCACATCGACGCAACGACACCAAGCAGCGAGCATTCTGCTGATGAGATGATGCAGCAAAATGATGGCAGCATCAGCGGGTCAAGTGGAAGGAAGCGCACCACGCCAAAGTCCCCCAATGGCGTGCCACAGAAGCTAAAGACGTCGGAAAGAAGACGGATTCAGAACCGTCAAGCACAAAAGACGTACAGTTAGTACACACGAAAATCCTTCGTTGGCTTAGGAAAGCAAAGCAAAGCGACAAGCGAGCGATCCGCTAATCATGAGTCCAATCGAATAGGAGAGAAGCAGAAGAAGCGACTGCAGGCTCTAGAGTCGTTTGCCAAGTCTCAGACAATTGCTGCTCACGATGCGCCGTCTTCGTCCACCCCGACGTCCACCATTGGCCAAACCATGGCCGGCCTGTTGGCCGCGGACTCGCCTATCATGGGACTGGCCGGGATGATGCAGCCTCATGATCTCGGCCCGGCCGCTACCACGGGAATGGGAAGCTTCGTAGGCTGCGGCCCGAGCTTCAATGCGTCTTCCTTGAGCTACCAGACCGGCGGGCCAGCTCCCATGTACAGATACACGCCCAGTCTGGACTACCAGGCGGATGGTGCCATGAATGCCGGTCGATCATTCCGAGAGGACTTGTTTTCCGCGTCAACTCCGCTGGTTGCCCAGTCGGGCTCCGGATCCATAACACCGGGGAGCGGGTTTAATTCACCCTCGATGCCGGCTGGTGTTGTTCAGTCACACAACGTCAACGTCCTCAAGAGCCAATCACCGGCGAGGGATGAGACAGATACATTACTCGCCCAGTTCCTACTACAGGACGACATCACTCTGAGTAGAGCACTGCTAAGGAATATCCGCACGAACAGGATCACGCTCAAGGACATTCTGAGAAAGGGCCTCCAGTCACTAGAAAAAGACGCAGACAGCCCGTTAAACAGCACGAGGATGATCGACGGTTCATTATATGGGCGCAAGCCCACACAAGGTGAATCAAAAGGCTCGGCTATTTAACCATGCTCTAACAATGGGTAAATAGTGCAGCTCCCCGATCTTCACGCCAATACAATCCGCATCACGCAAATGTCGTTTGTAGCAGCTGTTCTATATAACGCAACCATGCTGGGCATATCGGCGCCAGAAATGTTTGCACACGACACTGAGTCTCATTTTTTTGCATCAAGGGGAACATTGGGAGTAATGGAAGACATTGCAGAGCAAGTTGCATTTGTTGATATAAAAGACGACTTGAAGCCAACCCAGAACCAACTCACACAGCGTCATCACCCTTACATCGACGCTCTCCCCTTTCGGGTTTTCCGGGAGCGGTTAATAGCACTGATCAATGCTGAGCCCAGTATAATCAACATGGGAGAGCTATGCCACGATCTACAGAGCGATGGAGTGATTTGTTGGGGGTCCGGTGCTGGGGCTGGCGCTGGACACTCTGGCGCGCCGTGGGATATCCGAAGCTGGGAAGTACGGCCGTGGTTTCTGAAGAAATACTGGATGATTACAGAAGGCACCGAGGGGGAGATGTATCAGCAGGCTAGATGGTGGTGCGAGATGAGGGGAGAAGAGGTGCCGACGTTGTGGTGATGCAGAGAATCATTCAAGTTTTTAGATGTATTTCCATCTTTGACTGCCTCAAGCCTCCCAGTTCTGGAATGCCACTGTTTTTGTGCTTCTGCTTTGACATGCCGCCATCGATTGCTCATGCTTCTCTCTAACAAACCGAACGTCCATCTGTATGATGTTTATTTCAACTGATCCATCAAGCGGCGGAGCCACTTCAACCTCCCCTCGCCCGCCTGTTTCGACACGCTCGCTTCCGGAGCATAGAATTCGAAGCCGTGCAATCCACCGGCAAACACCATCAACTCAGCCTGCACGCCATGCTCCCACAGCCTGGACGCATAGGCAACGACGCTGTCTCTGAACGGCTCGGCAGACCCAACGTCGATATACGTGGGAGGAAGATTCGACAGATCGGTTGCTCGGCCCGGAGCTTCAAAGACGGATACTTTATCCGTCGCGCGGCGGTCGCCCAGAATACACGTCCAGCTAAACTCATCCGACGCTCCGGAATAAGCCCCATGACGCAGATATTGCTTGTGAGAAACTGTATCCGCACGATCGTCCAGCATCGGACAGACGAGGAGTTGCCCGCACAGCTTGGGAAATCCCTCGTCTCTCGCCTTTAACGCAGCCGCGGCAGAAAGACCACCGCCAGCAGAGGCGCCTCCGATGAGCAACTTGTCCGGATCAAAGCCGAATCGGTCTGCTTGCTTTGCGAACCAAACGAGACCTTCCCAGCAGTCTTCAAAGGGCGCAAGGCCAGGGTTCTCCGGAGCTAGCCTGTATTGTACAGTGGCGAGGATGCCGTCGATCTCCTTCATCCAGGATATAGCCAGGTCGAGGTTGAGGTATTCATCTCCGATAACTACGCCACCTGGATGTATGGTGTAGATGGCTGGTCGCTTGTCTGTGCTTGAGGCTCCTTTTGGCTTGATAACGAGGATTTCAATGTCTCCACGGGGTCCGGGGATGGTCACCCGTTCGGTTTCCAGCGAGGGATCGGAATGGACTTTGTCCTTGAGTGCGTTGGCGATTGGGGTAGCTTGTTGACGGAAGGCTGCTACTCTGACGGCGGCGTCGAGGGGGAGCGAGTCTGAGAGAGAGCCGTCGATCATGGCGGGAGGGAGGTTTTTGATGACTTCGGGGTCAAAGGGAGGCCTGACGGACGACATGGTGGCGGACACTTGCTGAGCTGTTCTTGTTTTGTCTTGTGGAGTTTGAAGTTGTCTAGATATGAATATGCGGGCATTTAAATGAGAGACTCGACAACCATGGAACTTATATCTGTCAATGTGAGCTCCCCAGTTCCCTTCTTATATAGCTGTACCCGGTATGCCCGGCCTCGCCATGTTGCTCAAGGACCAGGATTGATTAGCTTCACTCCGCCATCCGTACCAACAACTCCTCCGTCTTGTTCTAACCCAACCGCAGGATTCAAATGCTGTGAATCTCGTCTGGGCTTCCTAGGTGGTCATAGTGAGCACCATCACCACCCTGCAAGGACAAGGATCAATTGGTCAAACTCCGCGACACGTCCCTGCATGTGCATGTGCATGTGCTGGTGATGGCGGAGAAGCGCTGGCGGACAATGGCAACAGTCCGTGCACCGCATGTGATTTCTTGGATTCAATCCTTCATCTTGAGTCTCTTTGTCTCAATGCATCACCATCACCATCATCATCGTCATGATTCATCTAATCTTCATTCATCTAATCTAATCTGCCATCACAAGCCCCAGCGCTATCTACAAAATCCCCCGCCATTGATGCCCCCCCACTAAAAATGTCCAAGTCTCTAATGGCGCTCGGATAAACCCGCCGATCTTCGGATCGAAGATGCTAAAAATCGAAACTCGAGTCGCCAAAAAAAAAAAAAGACAAAAGTTACTCACGCACAAGCAAAGACAAAGAAATCCCAATTGATTGCGCCCGCCATGTCGATTCGCACTCTCAGAATCGGTAATTCCTCCCTCCTGAATGCTACTCACTTCAATCAATGCTTCACCATTTCTTCCTCCTCTATATCCCCTCCCAGCTAACCATTCTCATCTTCCCCCCCTGCAGGGCTCATCCCCGGTGACGGCATCGGCAAGGAAGTCATCCCCGCCGGCCGCCGCATCCTCGAAGCTCTCCCCGCCTCGCTCAAGCTCAAGTTCGACTTTGTCGACCTCAAGGCCGGCTTCGAGACCTTCGAACAAACCGGCTCTGCCCTCCCCGACGCCACCGTCCATGTCCTGCGCAACGAGTGCCAGGGCGCGCTCTTCGGCGCCGTCAGCTCGCCCACCCACGCCGTCAAGGGCTACTCCTCGCCCATCGTCGCCCTCCGAAAGCGCCTCGACCTCTACGCCAACGTCCGTCCCGTCAAGACCGTCCTGACCGCCGCCAAGCCCATCGACATGGTCATTGTCCGCGAGAACACCGAGGATCTCTACGTCAAGCAGGAGACCACCCGCGACACCCCCGACGGCAAGGTCGCCGAGGCCATCAAGCGCATCTCCGAAAAGGCCTCGTTCCGCATCGCCGCCATGGCCGGCGACATTGCGCTGCGCCGCCAGAAGATCCGCGAGAGCAGCCCCAGCATCCACAGCAAGCCCCTCGTCACAATCACCCACAAGTCCAACGTCCTGTCGCAGACCGACGGCCTCTTCCGCACCGCCTCCAAGAACGCCCTGTCCGACCCCAAGTACGCCTCCGTCTCCGTCGAGGAGCAGATTGTCGACTCCATGGTCTACAAGCTGTTCCGCCAGCCCGAAGCCTACGACGTCATTGTTGCCCCCAACCTGTACGGCGATATCCTCTCCGACGGTGCTGCCGCTCTCGTCGGCAGTCTTGGTCTCGTCCCCAGCGCCAACGTTGGTGAGGGTTTCGCCATTGGCGAGCCTTGCCACGGCAGTGCTCCCGATATCCAGGGCAAGAACATTGCCAACCCCATTGCCACCCTGCGAAGTGCTGCTCTGATGCTCGAGTTCCTTGAGGAGCCCGAGGCTGCTGCCAAGATTTACGCGGCTGTTGATGCTAACCTGGAGGAGGGCAAGCTGCTGAGCCCTGACCTGGGCGGCAAGGCCACTACCGATGAGGTTGTCGAGGATATCCTGAGACGCCTGTAAATGGTGTCTTAAGCTTGAAGTAGTAAAAACTGGCGTGTGTTGGAAAAGCTCTATGAACGCTGTGTCAGTATGAGTAGTCTCTGTATTCTGGATGAAACCGGATCTAGAGATCAAAATCAATTTTGAATAAAGAAAAAGCAAAAACTTTTGATTCAAGAGATGCCTGATAGCTGATCTGATCAGCTCGGCTACTTAGCCTAAAAGCCATCATCTCGGCCGTCTTTCCCCCAACGCGGCAGCAAACCAAATACCCGTGAAATCCAGTGCTCTCAAATATCCATGGCCAACTCGTGCGCCAGATAACTAGATGTGTAAATACCACCATATAGCCGATAAATATCTTCCCGTGAAGCCCATACTAAATGCATTTCGCAGCAAAAAGCTTGTCGCCTGTCATCTTCAATCCCGAAATCCATGTCGAATCTGTCCCGAATGAAATAACTTTTTCTCCTTGTAATCCCAACGCCAATGAAAGGGTAGAGAGAAATGAAAGTTCTCATATCCTCATCTAAAAAACTCCGCCTCAATTTTTTTTCTTAGACGAAGCTTTCGCCGCGTTCTTCTTAGCCGCCTTGGCTTTTTTAATCCTCTCCTCCTCCTCCTTCGCCGCATTTTTGCGGTGAAAAGCCTTGCGCAGCTCGAGGTCGTTCATTTTAGGCTGCGGTTTGCCGTCATCTTGCAAAGTACGGTCGATATCCTTGGCCTTCTTCCTCTGGAGACTGTAGATGTGATCATCAATGGGTTCCTTGGTCTTGATATTCACCAGGTGGGTGACTTTTTGTTGACCAATTCGAACAACGCGACCAAAGGCTTGTTGTTCTGCTGTCTTGTTCCACCACTGATCGATGATAATTACTCGGTTCGCCACTGTGAGATTAAGAGATTGATTGCCGCTCTTCAAAGTTGCAACCTATTCAAACAACAGGCTGGTTAGATCATGTCAAATGAGAATAGGATGAAGCACTACGCAGTGTGAACGGATAAAATCCTTACCAAAACCTGTATTCCATCATCTTCTCTTAGGGCCTTCAGTGCTTGAGTCTTCTGCGTTTGCGCAAGTCCGCCGTAGTAGTACCTGAATCCAATATTCAGGGTCTGAAGCATGAATCCCAGCATCTTTGCCGTCCCAGTAAACTGAGTGAAAACTGCACAAAGAATAAGCAAACTCGTGTCAACGCTTACAGCATCACACATGATTTCTGCTTTTCGGGGACTTACTGAGAACTTTGTCGTCTGGTGCCTCATCCCTCCATGTTAGCAAAACAGCCATGGCCGCGGTCAGCTTTGTGCTGGGAAGGATGGGAACTTCGTCAAGAAACGTGCTGACAATGAAGAAGCCGTTTCGGTCGTCATCTTGGTGAACGGCGGCATTCATGCTGTCTCTTCCAGGCTCACGATATGTGCTGCCATCCGCTTCGGCCTTTCCCACAATCTTTTGAATGGTTTCGATATCATTGCCTACCCCCAGATTTTTGTCACAGCCTTCATGGAAGCACATCTATGCCACCGAGTCAGTAATCATAACCTTTTCTAAATCACGGAGAAAGTGGGCCACATACAACTATGTTTAGATCGCCTTGAGCATCGCTCGAGAGAGCTGTGCAAATACATTTGGAGCAGTAAACATGAGGACACTCATCTCAGTCAGCGTGAAACCACGATTCGCTTGCTTTTGTTGCTCAACTTACTCGACTAGAGAATACCGGCTCAACCGGTGCCTTTCCGCAGAGAGGACAGGCGACACCCTTCACGCTCGCCTCTTCTCCCAAGATGTCCAAGATCGGCCGCATGTCGAGATATTTACCGAAGAAATTCTCTTCTCGCTCTTGCATTATCTGCAATCCTTTTTGGTATTTTCTGATACCAGTATTTTCTTCGACGCCAAGCTGTAGTTGTTTCAAGATGGTTTCTTTGGCGCTGATTTCCTCTAGAGCGGCTCTCAACTCGACAAGCTCTTTGAGGTGGAACTCATTGCGGAGAAGACGCTCAATGCAATAGATATGAGATATGGTTTGGCGCTGTCTCACTTGGCTGGCGCGTTCCAAAATCCATGCTAGTCCGTGAGCTGAAGACTTTTTAGATTTGAGCTTTTTATTGCCATTTTTTCGCCGTTGTCGTTCTCCTGGACCGCGCTTTTCAGGTCCAACTTCGTCCAGTTCCAATCCAAGTTTTGACAGGTCCTTACGCTCTTGTTTGAGCCTATAATATTTGCACACGGCACTAGAGAATATTGTGAGTACTCATACAGCCTTCGCACTGATTGTTGGGAATCCCAATTGAGATGCCAGCATCATCCAATTTTTGTGAGGTTTAGACTCACTCGACAACGGCTTGTTCTTCTTTCGACAGAGCAACCCAAATATCAACTTCTTTTCTCTCTGGAAGAGAGACGATTTGCCGCCCTAGAAATTCATCGTCGACGGTCCTTTGCCCTCATTAGCACATACTAAATGCGATATAATGATGTGCGACAAGTCTCACCGCCGATACAACATGAGGCTGATCAATGCCACAAACTGGGGGTTGGGTTCATCCTACGATGATCAGTCTCTCGTACTTATATCTTGTACAGCTGAGCCCTTACCTCTGCTCCAAAGAACATCGAGCGAAATTCTTTGCGACTCATTGTCCATTCACATTTCAGAAACTTCATGTAAGGGTACATCTCTGCGAACATTAGTAAATGAGGCCATCCAAGCTATGTTGTGAAGTGCGGCACGCACCCTGGGAGCTGTTGGCCAGAGGCGTACCCGATAAGGCCCAGCGATATTTTCCGACAAGCGCACAACACGCTTTGGAAGCTAATTCGAGAAGTTTTAACAATAATCTTCATCAGTCGTCCATTTTAAATTAGAACTTACTACGACTTTCGGCATTCTTGATAGCATGTGCTTCATCAAGGATGATCCTGTACCAGTTGATACGGAACAAGGTGCCCAAAATCTTGTCCAGCGCGATCCTAAAATCATCATCGTCGCTGTCATACTTCTCAAGAAGTTTCCGAAGGACATCATCGCTTGGGTACTGAGAAAACACCTCTTTGTATGTGGCAATGCTGAACCCAGTCAGCTATAAAAAGTCGTCCAGTGTAGGCGATGCCTCGCAATACTCACACAATGAAGTTTTCCCTGCAAACCTCCCGCAAATCTTCTCGGCGTGGGTCATATATGAAAACCATGTGCTTGTACGGTCGCAAGCAGTGTTTCTATAAGATCTGTCAGCTAAAAAGCTTTGGGTGTCAAGTTGCCTTCAGATCAACTCACCCGTGTTTCGTTCTCCCACTGCTGAGCAATTGTCTTGTTGGGCACAACAACCAAAGTGGCATTGCAAAACTTTTCGCAGTCTTCATCATCTGGTGGATTCCCAATCATGCAGGCAAGGCTCATGACTGTCTTGCCCATACCCATGGCATCGGCCAAAATTCCACCATGTGGTTCCGACCGAGCCAGCTCTCTCTTCATCATCCAAGCCACGGCCGTAATCTGGTGATTCCGCATAGCCGTCGCCATACCTTTCAATTTCCAGTCGCCATTGTGAGCTTCAACCTTTCTATAGCCAAATATTTGCGCGGCTTCTTTCAGATCTCTTTTTTGTGTGCCTTTGCGCCTCGTGTCACAGTTTTCCGGTATACTGGCCATGATTTGAGCAAATTGCTCGGCGTGAGTCGTTGCTTTGATAGATTCAATGGGGAGCAGTGGGCTGTCGTCAGAACTCGGTGAGCAGTCGTCGCCAGGCAGCAAAATTCGATGGCCATTTGCCGTCTTCAGGGCTTTGCAAGACTCTGTATCGCCTTCCGTTGCCTTGCGCTTACGTAGAGGTTTTGCACCAGGCTTTCTGCATTCTTCTCGCTCCATTTTCTTGGCAAATTGTTCGTCTTCCTTTGCGTGTAATCGAGCAACATATTCCCGAACATTCGCAGCGGGTTTTTGTCGCGGCTTTCTACTCCTTTTCTTCTGAATGGAATCATTGTCATCCCCAGCACTCAAATGTTCCTTGTCACTCTCATCATCAGAATCACCGCCATCGTTTTTGTAATCGGAATCATCATCATCGTGTTCATCAGCTTCGTCACAATGAAGGCCCTCGTGCCCCATGAGTTTGATCAGATTGGCAGTCTCGTTATCAAAAAGCATTTCCAGTGATGGTAAATCGTCATCTGTGCCATCCACTTCATTCTCGCGAACATAAGGGGATTTTCCATCGATTTCCGTAGAGTTGTCCTCTACTAATATGGATTCTTCCCCCATACTCTCAGCAAGAATAGTCGAGTTGGTTGAGGAGCTTGGGACGTCTTGCTCCGCACTAGCAAGATTGCAGTCATCACCCTTTTCTAATGCGTCAACTAGGTCGTTGAAGTCATACTTCTCTGGGGGAGCATGATTTGACTTGGGAGATTGAGCTGGAGTAGGAAGGGTTGCAGCTGCTGGAGAAGCTGGCTCAGCAGTTACTGGCGTCTCCATGTTCGATGGCACGGTCTAGAGAGTTCTATTGCAGAGTCAGTCGAGGTCTTCAGTAGCCTTCCAAAAGAATAAAGATGGAGGAGATGATGGAGTAAATCGATCCAAGCTCACAACATGAAAATATGCAAGTCTTCTCTCTAGATGAACGAAGGTGAACGAAGGCTAACGCAACTTCGTACTAGTTCCGCGTATGCACTGGGCCGGTTGTATGATCGAAAGAGTAACAAATTTGGAAGAAAGAAGATGAAATGGTGAAAGAGAGGGCGAGGAGGAGGAAGAATGAAGTTTTGAGATGGAAAAAAATATGTGCACAAGTCTTTGGTGAAATAGTTGAGGTGAAGGCAGAAAATCGGGCGGTGTAAATATTGCCACGGCCGCACCTGGCTTCACTGCGAGTAGCAGGCAGCTGTTCTCCATATGGGATGTATCTTTCAAATTGTATTCACTGCTTCCAGAAGATAAAATAAGCAGAGTGGTGGTGTTGACAGCTGTCAAGCTACTTTGTTTGCAGTGGAACTCAGGCAAAGGTCTACGCAAGGAACAAAGCACGCATCTACTAAGAAAAACATGGATGCATATATGATGGAGCAAATCAAACAGATATCCAATTGCATGTCCGATAATGTAAACCGCTAGAGATGCAAGCTTGTATGATGCTCGCGATATTTGAGAGTCCAACCGCATACGCTCAAAGGAATAGGTATCCTCTATCGTAACTCCTCTCTTAAGGTAGCTGCACATACTTTAATGCCGTATTTCAGCTTCTTGTAAGTTCAATTTAGCAATGTCAAGCTTATTTCAGATTCAAGAAGTAGATAGTGCGCGACTGTTCATTACAGCTCCGAGAACAAGCCATGCTTGTCCAGGTTCCAACCGCCCACTCTCTACAAGAAACATTCCATTCTATACTATTCGTGTTCAGTTAAAAACACGAAAATGTCTGTGATTATTAACTCTATCCATGTAATGAGTTTCTCTATACAATTTTGGTGCCACATACCATTTAATTATGCCTGTGGTCACGCAATGCTCCCGGAGTAACTGTGCCTGGGCTGAATGTTGCCCTGTGAATGCAGCCTCATCTACAATGGACTACTGTTCAAGATTATGTCCGTTTCCATTGGAAGCACGTACCCACTAGCCAATATCACTGTAGATAATAATGTTTCCCCGGGGGAAGTAATATGGCCATTACACGCTATAACTGAACGCTGATTCGTCCGCAGTGTCAATCCTATCAGACAAATATACACCCACTACACCTCTACTGTCTTTACCTCGGTCCTGGTAAGTATTCTACCTCGGGACCTTTGCACCATGTTATTCTGATTCACCACGGCTGTGTGCATGAAGCTGGAGTTGTTATAAGCCACACCCAAGCAGATAGTAAGCCGCCAATCTCGCCAGTTTCGTTAATCTCGTCGGTCAGCCGAGTGACATATTACCCGCTGTGGGGTGAATCGGAGGCAATAGCCCGAGACTAAAGCAATCTACCAGGCTTCATGACATCTCAAGATTCCATCTGGCCATGTCTTGGAGGGCGCATATGTCGGGTGCCAGTAACTGCTCACGGATTAAGAAGAACTGCCCAAGTACAGCCAAGAAGATCCACGCGGGGTACATAGAACAAACTAATGAAGTCTTTGTTCTCTAGGATCCGAACTGCTCCATGGCGCAGAAGATTAAACCCTTCAGCTACACTAGTGCCCACCTGATGTGATGCTTCCACTGGCTATACGTTCCTTTCTGAGAACGATGCGTTTACAGCCCTTATCCAAATTTTAGCATGTAAATCATCTCTATTGAGCGATGATACTGCGTATTTCGAGAGCGGTAACATCTCGGATATGGCTTTCTTCGAGGGTCCGAGGCCGCAAAGCGAAGATCCTCCATGGCGGACAAGCAAATGGCCGACATCAGTCATCTAATTTATTCCTGACTCGTTTTCAACTGATACAAAGCTCGTAAGCGGAGGATTATTGATGTAAAGCAGACTTTTTTTGGTCATATTTCTCCATGTATTATGCGACTGCCGATGCTTCATCTCGCGCTGGGCGAGCGAAACCCGCGAATGCTACCCTGCACCAATCGTCAACATGTAAGCGGCGCGGCAAACTCTGCTGTGTTGCTCTTTTACTGCCTGCCTTGGTAAGAATTAGAATAGAATCTTGGTCATTGTAGTTAACCAAGAACTTTATCAAGGTTGATATGGCGAAAATAGCGCCGGCACTCTGTCAGCGGTATTTCGGTAGTGGCGCCCCTAAGCTGGAGCATCACCAACGAACGAATGAGCAAATCGAGTTAATTAGTGGTGGGGATCATACCTACTTGAATTGCGAGTGTGAAAGAAAGGGATGTCTCATTTATCGCATTGTATCGGAGAGCGACGAAGAGAGCGCGAGGCCGACTATGTCTGTTGACGAGCGATCGTCGCTTGAGCACGAGAGACTTCGGTGATGATACCTGGTTAAACATGAAGCCGAAGAGTTGCACGAAGGGATCGTTTATTATCTTCAATACATAAGGACGCTTACTTCCTTCTTCATTCTCGATCATCTATGTAGCGACAATATCTTATGGTCAAAACACCTATTTCACCATGATGTATGTGTTTGGTGTTCTTCTTGCTCCCAGCTACCTATTTGGGGTTGCTGCGGTGGTGGGACTGCTTTATGTGAGTTTCCACTTGGCTCTACCAGCTCAGAACTCCTCTAACTGTCTTGCAAGTTGCTTGGGCATTACATTCAAGATCCCCTCTCTCACGTGCCCGGTCCGTGGTATACCAAATGGACTTCCCTCGTAATAAAGTATCACTGGTTGAAGGGGAACCGAGCGCGATATCAGCATGAGCTGCATCTGAAATATGGTAAGCTATTCCATTTGAAGTGTTTCCTGCGCTATCCTTTCAACGAATTCAATTGTATTAAACAAAACTTCAATTTTAAAGGCCCTCTTGTACGCCTCACCCAAAACAAAGTATTCGTCACCCACATCGAAGCTGTCAAGGAAATCTACAATGCTCGAGAGACGTACCGCAAGACATTTTGGTATGGTGACTTGTCCGTCACAACGGAAAACCTCTTCAACACCACTCGCGTCGAGGTACATCGAAGACTACGAAGGCTTCTCTCAGGCGCAATGTCCGAAACGTTACTGCAGATTGCCGTTCCCCAAGTACAGTCCAAGGTTGATTTGCGACACAAAGAATGGGCGAGGAAATGGAAAGCAGAGGTGCCGCAGACGTCATCAAGTGGTTTCTATCTATGGCAACAGACATTATCGGGGAGCTCTCCTTTGGTGACTCTTTCAGGACCTTGGAGATTGGCGAGAAGAGCGGTTACACAAAGGACTTGGAGAATCTGGGATTCGTTGGAGCTGTCCGCTCGGCTTTCCCGACGCTCATCTCAATGGCGAAATACCTTCCCATTCCATTCTTCACACGTCCGCTCCAGGCAACGAGGAACATGATTCGTTACTCGGAAGAGTCCATTGCGCGGTACAGGAACCTTCTAGAGTCTGACCCGACGAGTGTCCAATGGACTCTGTTTACCAAAGTCTTCAAAGACACGGACAAAGACGCTCTTACGACAGTGGAGCTCAGGGCCAACGCATCGGGATACATTGTTGCCGGCAGCGACTCCACCGTCGTCACACTCACAGACCTTGTCTGGTCCGTTTGTCGCAATCCAACAGTCAAGGCAGCTCTTCTGAAAGAGCTGCGAACTCTCCCAGACGACTTTGACGCTTCCCACCTCCGTGAGTTGAGTTACTTGAACAAAGTGATTGACGAGACGCTGCGTTTGTACTCTGGCATTCAATCCTCTCTACCACGATATGTTCCCGAGGGCGGCGACGATGTTGCCGGATACTGGCTGCCTGGAGGCACGAGCGTCTGCGCATAGGCATACAGCATGCACCGCATTCCCAGCGTGTTTCCGAATCCGGATGTCTTTGTCCCGTCACGATGGGCATCGCCAACGAGAGAGATGAAAGACTCCTTTATGCCCTTTGGAAATGGATCGCGAAGTGAGCTTCCTTTGATCTCTAAAAACGGCAAGTTGTGTTATTTGCTAACTTGAAGTCTCTTTGACAGTTTGCATCGGATTGCATCTTGCCCGGATTGAGCTGCGTTATGCGACCGCCCGCTTCTTTTTGGCGTATCCAGAGGCCAAAGTGTCGACGCTCGAAGCATTCTGCGATGAGGACATGGTTCCCAAGGTGTTTTTTCTTTGAAGAGCCAAGGGCTAAGAGATGTCTCATTCAGAGGTGTTGAGTGAAGAGTCGAATGTTCCTATGGCGAAATTTTGCCATGTCGATAATTGATATGAATCACCAATTAGCAAGATGAAGCAGATACACTTGCTTGCTACCTCTTCCAAACCATTCGTCGGTCTAGAAGATGGGGAACTGCTTTGGATCTTCCAAAATAGCATCTTCAAATATTTCGTAATGGTCTATGCCGACATACAATGCATCAACGCAATGCACAACACAAAGGGAAAATACGTCCGTGAGCAGCCACACTGCCTCAGTCAGATCAGGCCTTTGTTGGTTTTCGCATCCCATTATATGCCATGATCCTGATGACATTCTCTGTAGACGTGGATGTCATTGTTATAACGGTGAAGCTATAAATAGCTAGTATGCAATGAAATAAAAGGCAGCCTTTGCCTGGGAAGTCATTCCGCCAAAGTCTTCAAGCTTACATTACGAGTAACAACACACCATGCCTTATGTCGATTTGACCTGGAATCCCAAACGCGGCTCTACAAGCGCCCAGGAAAATGGCGCGCCGTACCATATACCGGCAACCGAGTATTCGACAGCATGGGGATGCCAATGGACCGATCCCGAGTTTGGCGTCTTGAACGAACAGGACTTGGAACTCCTGAAGCATGTGAATTGCTCGTACCTTTCTTCCGGCAGACCACCAACGATGCTAGCATTGAAACAGCACGCGCAGTCTCTTACAAATCTCATCAAGACGCTGTGCGTCAGCACTACATTTGGAATCGTCGACGGGAAGGGCGAGCGGTGTCCGGCTTTTGAGAAGAATGAGGCCTTTGACTGGCTGAATGACCTCGACGAACCATACACAAACGACGACGAATTTCACCATATCCCACTGTGGGCGCTGGCAAATCACGTTGAAACCCAGGACGAGGAGACTGGGATTGAATGCCACTGCGCTCTCAAGGCCGCGCGCAACAGGGAACCCACCGAGCCTGGCGAGAAGACACCACGACCGTACTTTAGCCATCACAACCTGGTCATGCACGCAAACGAATGCCTCGAGATGCTGGATCATGAATATAGCGCGACAGGAGGCCTCCTTTCATTGATTCCATCTGGAAATGAAGACGATAGTGAGCAAATGACTGCCGCAAAGAACACGCTACTGGGTCAGCTACTCCTTCACCAACAACACATGATTCAACGGATGCACGAACTCGAAATCATGTGCGCTAGGGCAGTCGATATTCTGGCGGGAGAAGCTGTTGTGCCCATGCAGATGCTTCAAAGTCTAGGCGTGGAGGGACGATCGAAAGGACGAGAGGTAGCCTATGCGCAGGACCAATTTATTCTTGCCAACGCGGGAAAAGATGTCTTTGAATTGATACACCACCTGATGGATAAACAAGAGCCCAAGATTCAAGCTCAGGACCAGATGTCGTTCAACTCAGGAGTCAGCGGCGAGCGGATGTGGTCACAAACACCAGAGGGCGGATGGTATTCCCGTGGCATCGTACATGTCGACTTGATGACGAGGTTTGTCCGTCTCAAAGGTTCAGGAGGAAAGTCAACCATCTTCATCACCCCGGCTATCGAACATCACCCTGGCATAGCAGAAACCCGAAAGATGGAGAGTCGCCCAACGGTAGTCTCTGTGGTGACGCCGTCTTGGCCAGAACGAGCTTCAGAGCTGGAGCAACGTGCCAACGCTCATCTTCAGAGGGAGAAGGAGTTGGAAAATGAAAACCGGACACTCGCACGAGATAAGATGGAGATGGAGTATAACTTGGGTATCGCCTTGGGGGAGCTGCGAAAGACAAGGCAAGAGGTGAAATTCTATGAGGAAACATCTGAAGGGGTAGCGAGTAGTAGGATTCGCAGCGGAAATGAAGCAATGCAGCGGCAGATGGCGAAGCTGAGAGAGGAGCTGCCCGGGGAGTATCACCACCTCTTGCGGACTGACGACTGAGTGTGAGTTGTGTGGGGGAAACAGGTAGATGGTTGGGTCGGTGTGGTTTGCGGTGACGGTTTTCAGGTCGGACGAGATCGATTAGAATGTAGATTGGCGGTTCTAGTGCAGATCTAAATTTCCGAGAATTGATTGTGTTGTTGGTTTGCGTGTCTGAAGTTGGATGAGTCAAGTGCATGTAACACCGTCGTTGGTGACAGATGCCGATTAGAAAGTGGCCGTTATCAGCCGAAACTTCCCGCCATGTACAACCCATCAACTCAGTTCCCGACATTTCACCGTAACAGATGATGCAAAAAAAAAAACGGCAAAATGGACGCTGCTGGGTTCAAAGTTTTTATTTAATCATGAGGTGGTCAGTTTAAGCGGGTTCTTTGCCGACATTCGTGTATGGCTTAAGGAACACCCACCCAGTTGTAATTTCGTGTTTCTAGCATCACATCACATACTAATACACGTACATGGGACCAGTAGATATCCTCTTATGACGTTCGGTTGTCGTACTAGAAAGTAGTCTGAGAAACCCTTCAAGCAATTGAGCCAAGTGGAAAATAAAGCCAGGAGAATTCTTGGCAAAAGCTATCTAGTCACTTGCACAATCGCCTTCCACAGTCTCTTTAGTCTGTTTATAAGGAAATCTCAATCTCAAGCAGAGGTCAAACAGGCCATTATATAGATGGCATCGGGGTGTGAGTTGTATTGCCTTGTCTAAACAGTTATTCACATCGATTAGAATGTTTATGTGATCATTAATGCCTAAAGTCCTAGTTAGGCCGTGTACGGGGCTGTGTAGAGAGGGGTTTCTATGTTATTAACGCTGCTTACCGTCTCTGACCACATCTTGGTGTCTTTCCCTTGTCACCTTCTGTTCACAAGTCACTTCTAATAAAACAAATGTTCTGTTTCTCACAAATTACTCAATGCTGAGTATGGAAAATATTATTCGAGTTACTTAACCATGGGATCCAACTTCCAGGTCACTATCCCTGCGAGCGATCCCTCAAAAGAGAGAAACCGTCACACAGAAGCCTCACATATCCAAACGGCGCTCAAGGAACCACCGTCTCTCGAGTTTTTATGTCAAGACTGCCTCAATCTGGATCTTTCCAACGCTTTGTCAGTCGAGGATGCATCCGTTTCTGTTCCCTGGGGATACTTCAACAACTGGGCCGTTGATGTTGGCCATCGATACCGAGTGACGAGAACGACGAACTGCAACCTGTGCCAAATGCTCTTCAAATCTCGTATCGATGAAGAAGATCCTACGTTGGATGGCGATGCCGACTGGATAAGAGTAGTGTCCTTTTCGAAATTTTCTGGCTTAGCTCCGAAAAGGTCTGAGTTTTGGAACTCAAATAACTTTCCGATTCTAATGCTGCTCCCCCACAAAAGCTATGATCTGAGCAAGAATTACGAAAGAGTCAAGGATCCTATCCAATCGTCTGGATATGCAGCGCTCCGGCAGCTCAACCGGCAACAGGCAGTATCTTTATCACTAAAGGCAATACCTCCAGTATTGGATTTGGGCACATTAAAAAATTGGTTCGACTACTGCAACCACGATCATGTGTCGCTCTGTCGCCATCCAAAGTCGGATTTGCGTGGCACACACGTTATTGATTGCCAGGAGCAATGTGTTACTGAACATGAGCCTGGCATGCCGTATGTCGCCTTGAGCTACGTTTGGGGACATCCGCAGAAGCAAACACAGGTATTTGATGGAAAGCGACTACCTGCTCAACTCCCATTGCTTATCCGAGATGCCATGGCGGTTACTCGGGCAATGGGATTCCGATACCTATGGGTAGACCGATACTGCATTGATCAGAGCAATCCAACAGTCAAGCATGAGCAAATTCGTCAGATGGATGTAATATATAGCAGTGCTGAAGTGACTATAATCGCTGCGGCAGGCCAAGATGAGAACTACGGTCTCTCAGGAATAGGAAGAAATCGCCCAGCAACCCAAACGGCGCATATTGGCGATGTCGCAGTAGTATGGGCACCAGGGGACCCCCAAGCAGCAATCAAATCATCCAAATGGTCTACTCGAGGCTGGACTTTTCAGGAAGCGCTCCTCAGCCGTCGCCGCCTTGTTTTTACAGAACAGCAGGTTTATTTTGAGTGCAACGCAATGAACATCTATGAGAGCCTCGACATCCCTCTCGATCACTTGCACATCCTAGACAGAAGCAAAAGCTACGAGTACCTGCGACGTGGAGTTTTCGGCGGGCATCGGGGAGCGGCATTCGGCAGGCTCATCTTCGAAAGCCGGGGACCGGGAGAGGCCTTCAGTCGATATCTGTCGAATGTAGAAGAGTATTCTGCCAGGAAATTGACTTATGCCGAGGACTCCCTGAACGCGTTTCGAGGCATCGCGCAACAGTTTTGGTACGGGAAGCACGCAGTCCACAATATTTGGGGGCTTGCATATTACCCAACACCCCCGGAAGAACGAACATCTAGTTTCGCGCATTCATTACCCTGGCATCACAAAAAGAATTGCTGGGACCTCTCACAGAGTCCGCGACGGCGACCGCAGTTCCCTTCCTGGTCTTGGGCAGGATGGGAGGGCGAAGTCAGATATACATTTATCTGGTCTAAGCAGACGTTGTGGTTTCATAATCTGATGAAGGCCGTTTCATTCGAGAATCAGATCCATAGTCCCATTGGACTGGAGATGATCGCCCCAAGCCCTGATGAGACTTGTATTTTCCCGATTGTGACACTCACCGCAGCAGTGGTTCCCCCGAAGCTCATTTCCTTTCACCCCAATGCAATTTCGGACAAACACTGGCAGGTTGGAGAATACAAGGCCGACCTGGCATTGTCTTATGGCTCTGTGTCTGAAGGTCAATTTGCAACAGATGTTCACGATAGTCATACATGGCAATGTGTGTGCATCGGAGCGGATCTCGGAAAATCGTTGGTCATGATTTTGAAAGCAGATGACGGTTCGGACGTGTGGGGACGGGCTGGAGTGTTTGTGATTGAGTGCTACGAGCCCGATATGAAAGATATGATGGAAACATGGGAATATAAATCGTTTAGAGTTGGATAAAGGAGCCTTTGAACGAATCAAGGCTTGGACAAAGACTCCAACGAACTGCTACAGTCGTGTCCTGCGATATCTTGTCAGCAAGCTGTGGCCTAAGAATGGTTACCTCGATATTGTGATATTGTGCGAGCATCTCTTTCACCTTTTATGATACTCGTGCTCATACGCCAATGCTCTGAATCTCTTTTGGACGAAGCGCCGATAATCGTGCATCGTTCTGCAAGAGCCGTATGAGTTGGAAGAGTCACGGAAGTGCATGTAATAGCGTTCTAGGTCGTTTAGTAGTGATAGAGGATGCTGATAAGAAGAAAGTGGCCGCTATCCGCCAAAAACTCCCCGCTATGCGCAATCCACCACAAGCCCCGATTCTCAACTCATCACCACACACTGTGCCCGTGCTGTTACGCATCCTCGATGCTTCTGAATCTGAACCTGAATCTCTGTTGGGTTTGCATCAGATAATCTCTCCGAACTCGACGACCCGCAGACCCTTGGAATCGTGCAACGCTCTGCAAGGGCCATGTTTGCCCCTGCATGCAGCTCGTCCCTCTCTGCACCATGGCCTCCCCATTCATGAGGCATTGTTTTCTTCAGCGAGCTCCATCGATCCCCCGAACCCGAGCAGCTCAGCGACGCCTTCACCTCGCCCCGCCGTTTCTTCTCGACGACTACACGCCAAGGTATCTTAGGCTGACCTCTAGAGACGCGGCCAAGAAGCGCTCGCTGGCCTATGCCCACCTCCGCAACTGCAACCTGTGCCCCAGACAATGCGGCGTCAATCGCCACGAGACGACTGGCATGTGCCTCATTGGCGACACGGCCAAGGTCAATGTCATAGCGCCGCATTTTGGCGAAGGTCCGTTCGCAAGCCCTCCGCCTGAACTCAAAGCGCAGCTGAAAAGGCTGTTGAATAGGCACTTCGGCACTAGGACGCCGACGGCACAAAGGAAAAGAGGCGTGCTAACGTGGGCCTAGAGCCATGTATCCAGGGGCACAATGGTAGTGGCGCGGTATTCATGAGTGGATGCAACATGCGCTGCATCTTCTGCCAGAACTACGACATTGCGCACCAGCGAAACGGCATGGACCTCACCCCGGAGGCGCTGGGCGACTGGTATCTCAAGCTTCAGGACGTGGGCGGCGTCCACAACATCAACATTGTGACGCCCGAGCACGTGGTGCCTCAGGTGGCGTTAAGTGTTTTGCATGCAGCCGAGCGAGGGCTGAGAGTACCTATCATCTACAACACCTCGAGCTACGACTCGCTTGCGTCTCTGGAGCTCATGGATGGGCTGGTCGACATCTATCTAGCCGACTTCAAAGTATGGGAGCCTAGCACATCCAAAAGATTGCTCAAGGCGGATGACTACGCCGCAACTGCTAGGGAGAGCATCAAAGCCATGCATAAGCAAGTTGGCGATCTGTGCTTTACGGGGGACGGAATTGCGAAAGTTGGACTGCTAATTAGGCATTTGGTCATGCCGGGAAAGGAGGCCGAAGGGGCAGAGATCATGAAGTTCTTAGCATCCGAAGTATCCACTGACTGCTTCGTCAACATCATGGAGCAATATCATCCAGACGCGCATGTTGGGAAGAAGAGAAGAAAGAGACGATCATCGTCGTTGGCTGAGGATGAGCCGGCAGAAGGAGACAAAGAAGGAGACGAAGACGTTCGATACAGCGACATCAACCGAGCTGTTACGAGCGAAGAGGTCTCTCTGGTGCGGGAAGCGGCCATGCAGGCTGGTCTCTGGCGCTTCTGCGATCCTCCGAAACACGATGGTTTCGCTATCTGATGGCGTATGCCGCGCTTTGTCCTGCTCAATCCGCTGGCTGCGCTGTGCTTGTAACATGTCGCCGAACTCGGTTGTGGCTTCGAATGTCTATGCTTCCACCGAATTTTCTCTCACCGTTCAATTACAGCCACGGAACCAATAATGCGTCGAGTCCAAACCAAATCCATGTGCGCTATTTCGGGAGTGCTGAACCCAGCTCTGCCGGAGTATATTCAAGGCTGGATGTGGTGGGCGCACAGATCAATGGACGCCACGTGGATGATGGTGTTGGTTCATCGAAACTCGATCGGACAAGAGTCAACTCAACCCGCCAGGCTGTTGGTGGCGGCATCATACACATGTTCTCAAGGCAAAACGCAGGCGCAGGGCCCGAGGTCCGAAGCCACAGCACCGGGTCTTCGGGCTTGGTCGAGCTGTTTTGTGAGAACAATAGCCAGATAGCGAGGGAGAATCCGGTCAGCTGTGACCATCTAGCTCGCCAATTGCTGCCCTTTGACAGCTAATTATTCTTGATAAACCGAGCAGGCCTTGCTAATTGCAATTGCTCGCCAATGACACTTACACCGAAGCATTGCAACTTACAACTAATGGATTTGGAACCGATTGCCATTCCCGAGAGATCGGTGCGAGGACTTCGAGACATTTCACCATCATCGTCGTCTCCCTCGTCCTGCCGTACCCTCTCACTCGACTCTCGCTCATCTGCATCAACAAAGCCATCTTCAAGGGGGACCTCTCCTGCTCTCGAAAAAGAAAACAGCAGCAGTCCTCGGGGCAGAAGCAGACGCAACCCAAAGCAGACCACACCCTCCTGGAATCTCATGTTCCACCCACGATCATATGAAGAGATATATGCCGAACGGGCATATCTTACAACATCACTCAATGTGTATTCAATCAAGGTGATGGAATTGATCAACCAGTACGCCCTGATCGAAGAAGTGCTTCAAGCAAAAGAGCATCCTGGGAAGGAGAGACGGAAGCTTCGCAAGCAAATGAGCTTCATCAAGGTCAAGTTGTCCGAGGCATCTCGCCAGGAAAAGGCCATTGTGATGAGGCTGAGCGAGCTGCACATGGAGCAACTGGGGAGAGATGCCTGGGATCAAATACAGCAGCGCAGAATGTTTTACTCGAATTTTTCGTCCGATGCGGCCATGCCGTCAGCCTCTCTAGGGACGCCGCTCAGCGCAACATCAAAGGAATTTGTGCCATCTGCCGGCCCACCAGTCTGTGCTGAATGTTGTGCATTAGAAGTGGAGAAGTCTCGGACCCTTGACACCGTGGTTGAGGCTAAGGAAGAGGGTGATGACGATGACGAGAGTCTCGAGGAAGAAGAAGAAGACGTCATGACTGAGGCGGAGGGTCACACGGGGGATGAAGATTTGTGTAATCATGGATTGGAGTACACATACCAGGGCTACTCAGACTCTGAAAATACCCAGCTGCGGCCGTCCCACCTCATTGAGAGGCTGTCTTTATGCGCAGAAAGACGAAACAGTCTCCCAAGTCTTTGTTCGGTTTGGCCCGTCGCTGAAAGCAGTGGCTGAAATTAACAAAACCAAGAGAGAAAGAAAAGAAAAGGGACACAGGAGAAGGAAAACTGACAAAGGGAAAAAACATGGGCTGAAAGGAGTTTTTGCATCTGTCTGTTTGTGTATCTGCCTGGCTGGGAATGCATCAATCATGGAATCATGGAATACTGGGGGAGGACATCATGGCGAATGTGAATGTACATGTACAAACGAATTGACCGGATGATATTAACAATTATTGCTGGGAGGGATTGTCTATGTTATAGTCATGCACTGCACGTATGTTCACTTTTTTATTTTGATTCCTTCTCTTTCTACGCGAATTCTCCAAACTGGCCGTCGTCAAATCCCAAGTTCTTTAGCGACTTTCTCTTTTCTTTGACATCAGAGGTTTTAGGCGGCGGCGGGAGAGAAAACGAAGCTGCACCGGCGGGGGGAGGCGGCAGCGCGAAAGACTGCAAATCAGCCGAGCTCGAAGATGTAGACGAGGCTTCGTCGTCCGCGTGCTGGGGTCGCCGCCGGCCGAACTTTGTGCCGCCGAGGTTTACTGTGATGGTTTCTCCCTCCTTGAGGCTGTAGTCCTTTGTCTCCGTCTTGGCCTTTGCATCGGCCGGGTTCTGGCTCTGCTCCGTCTCCCACCCAAGGCTCCTCCTGGCTTCCTGCAGCGAGACGGCGAGATCGAAAGCGTCGGACCTCTCCTCGAAGCCGATCCCCAGCATGGCCTTGCGTCCCTGGGGGTCTTTCACGGTGACGGCGAAGAAGCGGCTGCTGTCGACGACGGGCTCGACGGCGCCGCGGTCGTTGTAGGGCGCGGCGGCGAAGAGCGCGCCGGTGGACGGGTCTTCGAGGACGAGGTCGATCTTGAGGGAGGAGGCGGCGTCGGGGCTCTCGTACGAGGTCTCGACGACGCGGAGGCGCGCGGTGAAGATGTGACGGGCGGGGTCTTCGGTCCAGGAGGCGGCGGCGTGGCCGCGCATGGAGGTGAGGGGCGGGATGTTGTAGACGTGGACGGTGTTTGCGACGAAGAGGACGCGCTGGATGGCGTCGTTGGGGAGGGGCTGGCCGGTTGCTGGATCGATGGCCTCCATTGTGATGTGTTGTGTTGGTGATGGGTTGAGAGAGGAGAGAGGAGTATGAAGCAGACGGGAATTCAATGCAATTCAATTGGGTTGTATCTGGCGAGGGCTAAACAGACGGCAATGCTGATGCTGAATGTGATGCTGGTGTTGAGTGTTGAAGCTGGTTGGTGATGTTTGGTGTTGGTGGTGAAGGGAAACAAAAGTAGCAAGATGACAGAGAGATAAAAAAGAATCAATGGGCGGTGGGGGATCGCGGCCCGGTTGCTACACGGCAGGTGAAATGTCTGGTGTCGATGCCGTGCTGCTGCGCTACAACGATGGAGATGCTCTGGATCTCGACATCCATTGGGCATCTGCTTGGGTGCCCTAGCAATGGCCAGCATCATATGGATCAATGATCTGGGCGGGTGGAGGGGCTGATTTACAGGGGTCCCTTTCAGTGGCTTATAGGCGGGCATGTACATGTATCCAGTACTTTACCCCGCCATCTGTGGCTTGTGAGGCTAGGTAGAGCTCTTCCAAGTTTGTTTGTATGGCGGCGAGCCAAAACTTTGAAAATGCATCTCCAACTTTCCTGACTCACATCAACAGCTCCAAGACTCCATCATCTTCAGCATCCAGCGCATATTCCCTTTCTACCAGATCCCAGACTCAATCTAACCTTCTTGGTTGCCTTCTTTCACACTCTTTGCACACAACATGTCAGAACCAGAAGCTGGCGAGTCTGCTCTCCCCTCGTGCGACGGCACTCCAACAATGTCGTGACTAACCATCGCATTCATTCTAGCCGTTGCGCAGCCAGTCTCGACCGAGCTTCCCTTACGAACCCAGCCCGACGACTCGACCTTTGAGTACGCTCGTCTTCTTCTGCACCCATCAACCGATTCTAACCCGTAACAGCATCGTCGCCACATACCGAGACCTCCTCGCCTCCGACCCCGACCTCACAAAGCCCGTCGCAGCCATCGAATCCCTCATCGCCCTCCTCAACACCGTCCCCTCGACCACCGTCTACGAAACCCTCGACACCGTCAAGTCCCATTCCAACCTCCTCAAGGCCTCTGTCGAGAACCCGCTGCCCCTCCAGGCGGGAACCGACCTCTTCCTCCAGTACCTCGTCGCGTCGCTGAAGCAGCAGGACGGCAGCTTCGACGCCGTACGGCAGCACCTGTTGCGCAATGGACGCCTGTTTGCGAGTAGGGCCATCGCAGCCAGGAATGGCATTGCGGAAGCGGGATGGAGGTTCGTCCGGGAAGGCAAGTGCGTGCTGACGCATGGAGCGTCGCGATCCGTCACCGGGCTGCTGGAGCGAGCGGCCAAGAACAGCGAGGGCAAGTTTAGGGTCGTTTACGTGCGGGACGAAGTCCGCGCCGAGGAGAGCGATCGCGTGGTCAAGGAGCTACGGAGCAAGGGGATTCCCGTGGCAGAGATTCCAGAGGCTGCGGTGGCGCATGTCATGGGCTTGCTGCGACAGGTTCACATGGTGTTTACTGGTGCCGAAGCTGTGACGCAGAATGGTGGCATTATCTCGCGGATCGGAACATACCAGATTGCTAAGCTGGCGGCACAGGCCAAGATTCCGTTCTACGTCGCTGCCGAGACACACAAGTTTGTGCGCAAGTTTCCTCTGGATCAGAGGGATATTGGCTACCAGCAGGAGGTGTTGGACTTTTCGGCTACAGCGCCGAGCAAGCAGCCCAAGGATGCTGTTGACTATACGGTAAGCTTTTCTTCTCCGCAATCCCCTGATGTGTTGGATCTATTCTTGTCTCTGTCTGGTATACTGGACTGATACTGGTGTTAGCCTCCGGAACTAATCTCCAACCTGGTAACGGAAAACGGTGTTCATCTGCCCGGATATGTGTTTGAGCAGCTCCTCGATATATATGGTAGCTTAAACGGCTGAGGGGTGCAAAAGAATTGAAGAATTTCTACATTTGATTGTCCGATGCGATGGGCATGGTACGGGCCAGCGATGGCTTTCAACTCGCAAGTTTCAGTGAATGTATGGATGCATGAATTGGACTTTGTTGCGCATTGGCATCGGCCTCATGTGCCATACGACGCAGTTGGGCTGGGAACATGCCTTATTGCTCTCTCTATTGACGGGAATACAAACATTGGTTGTCGAAGTACTTGAGAGAATACTTGGTACCTAGCTGTCCCATACTCCGGGTTAGACGCCCACATGGCGAATTTTCTTCAACTATGATGTGTTGATCTGAACCATCGTTGGGTTATGTCTGTATTGAAAGTGCTTACCAACCCGGCGTTTGAAGTGATTACCATGTAGAAACAGATAATCAGCACATATACGCTACAATGAACTCATCCAGAATGGTGACCGTATTCTCATCATGCCTACGCATTTCCATTTTTTGTAGGCGGCTTGATGCGCGCACTTGACGAGCAGTAGCTGTACCATTCATACAGTTTGAAGATGTTCTGAACAGGGCTGGCATGGTATACAAGACGAGAGCTTTCGTGTTGACAGCTCGTGACACCCGGAATCCCGAGGCCAAAAGACGAGCAGTTCCAGCTCATGGAATTCTCGCCCAGGAGCCATGCAGATGGAGTTACGGACATGGGATTAGGAATTACTGAAACTTCAAACCGCCAACTTGAACACTAATCAAGCCGAGATCCAGGCAACTCGACCCGTGTGGACCCCCATGCCCATCTTTATTACTAATTAATTCTGATAAATAGCAAAAGTCTTTAAAGTCATCGATTCTGCAGTACCGGAGCCGTCAATACTGGACACCATCTCCCGTGATTAGGAATCCGTCTACTAACTCCGTTCCGCAGCTAGAGCTTTCACTGGCATCCCCCCCCGTGGTTCGGTGACGTGTCGCTGGGCTGTTTCGTCCATCATCTGTCGGTTTCTATTGGACATGTCGGGCAACTTTTCGCGAGTCACAGATAGCAGGCAATGCTAATGTGCACCTGTTTCTACTTTGAGATATCCTGCCATTCCGGGCTCAGGCCAGTCCCGCATTCTTCGGAGAGCCGTTTGTTGGTTTAGTAATACGAAGGAGCCGCTATTCAAGGCTATGAATGCACTCCGCAATCATGCATGATTCCTTGATCCGAAGAGACAGTGGTGGGGGGTTTCGACATCTTGAATCTGTCATGATGGGAATCAATCAGATGTGATTTCTATTGACTGTGGCATGGATGTCATAACACGGCGCGATTGCTCCAGTGTCAATCAGCCCAAGGCTTTAATTAGATAATGCTCAGGTTAACGCAGTAACCGAGTGAAGCTAGTTTCAGCCAAATCTCACTCCTCAGCTGCATGAGTTTGGCGAGGCTTGCGGCGGGGTCGCTGAATGTACTCGTATATCGGAGCAGAATACAAAGAGCGGGATTTAACGGAGAAGAGATGGGTAAAAGAAGGGGTCAATCAGAGAGAAATGGGGGAAACTCTCAGAGGGAACGGTAAATGGATGGGCAGAATAGAGGAGATGTTTGCAGACGGACAACACATGGCTACGTCAAACCTACATGTAGCCGCTGTCAAGTTTGCAATGCTCATTCATGGTGGAAATGGCGTTATCTCACTCTGCGCGGGCATATATAACACGGCGTTGCTCCCTGTCCAAGCCTGCAGAGTTCTATACCATAGACCGAAACCTACCAAGCGCGGGCTCTTTGTCTGTCCCGTCCCAACTCTCAGCTTACCACCGCTACTTCGAAGATCGATGACAACTCGAACCGAGCGAAACACACACACTTGGACATGGATCTCGTCATTCGACACCCGCGCGGGTATTCGCACGGAGCGGCTAAGGTCGGCTGAGATGGGCGGAAAGATGACCGTCTCCCTTGCCTTTCGCGGTCTTAGCAAGAGACCACCATCTCGAGCGTGATTTGCCCAACGATGACACATGATTGCTACGATATCCCGGCAAGAGATGGAGTTTAATGCGACTATGCTTGTGTGTGGCCTGCAAGGGACGGGACGGGAACACGTCTCGAGACAAACGAAAAAACGGCTACCGAGTTGTCCGGATCTCCGCCAGCCATTTTGGCGTGGATTCACGGCGCCGGAGCAGAATCGCAGTCGTTGCACACCAAAAGGCCGCACTGTAGCGTGAAGAACGAGATGATGAAGAAGCTGTCTGGATTTGACCGCGGCCCGTAATTCCATCGAGCTCGCATCCTTCGGCTCGTCGCCCCCTTTGTCACGGTGACAAATCTCATCTCTCACGCAAAGAGAGTTTAAGCGGCATCTTCTAGCATCAAGCCAAGCGGAAGTACTTCCCCCAAGTGGCTTTGGCAGCTCCTTCGGCTGAGCAGACGGGCCAAACAGCTCAGGTACCTATATCTCTATTCTTGTTAGCATTTGACTTGGCCAAGGTTAGCTCTCCAGGTAGTTTTACGTGAGTTCCCAAAGCCCCCATCTCCGTGGAGCTCTCCCCTTCGCCTAGCTACAGTAGCCCCCAATCAAGCCTGCACGTTGGCCCTCCAGCCTTGCAAGGGTTGCTGGAATAATGATAATGTGCCCGACGAAGAGGCAATGATTCCAAACAGTGCGGGCCCCGTCGTGCCATGTTCTGAGCTTGTAAACATCCTGGATCATCCTGACCATTACCTGCATCAGGCTTGGAGCATCCCGCCATGGCGCCCGGCCGGTGGTTTGACGGAGCCCGGTGTCTTGCATCATGGCTGCGTAGCGGACCCTCACGAAGCTTTGCTCTCTCTCTCTCTCTCTCTTTCTCTCTCTGTTGCTGAGCTCACCCTTGGAGAGTTCGAGTCACAGGCTTTCGGCATGTCGGGGAGGGGAAAGCGGCCCAGCGAACCATCCATCCAGGACCATCTCACTGCTACACCCCCATCCGAAACGGGCGTAATGTGGGAGACAGAGGCTAGAACATTGCGGTGGCTCGTGTACATGCTCAAGACCTGGCTGTCGATGCCGGCTTGCAGCTTATTCCATGTAGCTGCTGGGTAGGCCTGCCCTGGTCTGGGTTTAGGATTCCAGCCATGACGGCGCCTCGACATTACGTAGATCGTGGTTCGACATGTCGCTTGGCGTCGACCTGTGCCTGGATTCGTTGAGAGAGCAAGAATAGTATATAGATAGCCTTCGGGGGGCGGTGTCATGGCTTGCCGCCCCCCCTCATTCCGCGTTGCTTTGGTTATTTCATACTTCATACTGTTTCATTTTCAACGGCTTTTGATATATACATACCCACGATCAAGAGGAGAAGAAACCACCATCACTCCCCCACGCCGCGTGTTTTCTCCCCCTTCTCTCTCTAAAGTCGTAGTCACAATGCCCGCTGTCAAGGAGTCCGTCCTCCTTGCGCAGCAGCACCTCACAGGCGACGCGATGGCGCTCAAGACTACCGAGGCCACGACCAGGCCGCTTGACATCGTCGATATCCAGAATGCGCGGATCGATATTAACCTCAAGGACGAGATCCTGACTCAGATGAACCCCGAGCAGGGCCCTCGCACGCTGCCCACACTGCTTCTATATGACGAGAGGGGGCTTCAGTTGTTTGAGGATGTATGTCCATGTTTATCCCCTCCAAAAGGATTGAATCAATCTCCTCTTTTCCCTCCCCCTACCCTGTCCCAGAGAAGCGTGTGGCTTTGCAGTTGTGTAACCCAATCGATTGCCAGATTACATATCTGGACGAGTACTACCTCACCAACTATGAAATCGAGCTCTTGAAGAAATCGGCGGCCGAAATGGCCAGTAAAATCCCCGAGGGAGCCATCGTGGTGGAGCTGGGCAGCGGGTTAGTCTCGACCTTTTTTTTTTTCCCAGCTTTGCCTTCAAGATCCCAGCTGGTGTTTGTTGGTGTTGTTAGTCCCTAACTTGGCTTTTGCCTTTGACAATAGAAACCTGCGTAAAGTCTGTCTTCTTCTGCAGGCATTTGAAGATGCCAAAAAGAAGATTGATTATTTCGCACTGGATTTGTCTCAGACGGAGCTGGAGCGCACGCTTGCAGAGGCTCCCGAGTTTGAATATGTAAGCTGCCGGGGCTTGCGCGGGACGTATGACGATGGTTGCGAGTGGCTCAAGCAGGAGGCGATGTTGTCTCGCCCAAAGTGCATCCTGCATCTCGGCTCCAGCATTGGTATGAAGCTTCTATTGGTGTTTTCATGACGTTGATGTGATTGACTGATAATTTTGGTTTCAATTATTCTAGGCAACTTCAACCGTGATGAGGCGGCAGATTTCCTCAGATCGTTTGCAGAGATTCTGCAGCCCACAGATCTCATGCTTGTTGGCGTCGACTCTTGTCAGAACCCGGACAAGGTTTAGTAAGTGCATGCAGATGAAAGCAGAGAAACGATGGTTAGGAAAGTGAGCTAACACAAGAATCGCAATAGCCATGCATACAATGATAGTAAGGGCATCACCCATCAGTAAGACAAGACACCATGACTTATCCAACGCGTCCCAACCTGAATGAAACTGATATCAAATTAATCAGATTCGTTCTCAATGGACTCTCCCACGCAAATGAGATTCTCGGCGACGAAGTCTTCAACGTCGAAGAGTGGAACGTCACCGGAGAGTACGTTTACGACGTCGATGGTGGTCGCCACCAGGCCTTTGTCTCGCCCCTCGAGGTCGCTTCAGTTCTCGGACACATCATCAAGCCCCACGAGCGCATCAAGATTGAGCAGAGCTTCAAGTACTCTGACATTGGTGTCGCCAAGCTGTGGAAGACGGCTGGCTTGGAAGAAGTCACCAGATGGAGCCACAACGGCGAATACGGTATGCTTGGACCATCTCCTCCCCTCTGTTATACGACCAACGCTGACATATTTTGCCAATGTTCAAGGGCTACACATGCTGAAAAAGGCAAAGATGCCCTTCACCAGACTCCCTGAGCTGTACGCCAGCGACACCCTGCCTACCTGGGCTGATTGGGAGAGTCT